AGAGAGTTTTCTAGCTATCTGTGGCATATGGTGGCCTCAACTTGCACAGGGCAGCTCTACTGAGATATACTGTAACTAGCAGTAAAGCCCGTTCTGGAAATAAATACAACGAGATCTAGAAAGAGGCTCTGGGGGAGTGCTCTGGCTTTGGGCAAACAGTGTCATTTTGCTGTGGTGACCTCAGCAGGGTATAATGACAGAGTCCACTGTTTTCTCCAGAGGAACTGATCTCTGCTCCCTGAAGAGTAGTTGTAATTTTGAGTGATCTGTAGCCCTCACCTGGACATTGGCAACAATTGTTACCCAGGATGAAATGGCTGGTTTGGAGGGTGGAGTCTATGGCATTCTACCTGTCTGAGGTCCCACCCCTCCGGTCTACCCTCCAAAGCAGCCATTTTCTCCAGGGGAAACTGATCTCTGTCATCTGGAGATCAATTGTAGCAGTGGGAGATCTCCAGGTCCCACCTGGAGATTGGCAACCCTAGGGGAAAGTCAGCTGCACAGCAGGGGGTTGAAGAGAATGGTTTGATGGGTGCTGGGCCAAGATTGGCAACAATAGTTCCCCAGGAGCAAATAGCTGGGTTGGAGGGTGGAGTCTATGGCACTGTAACCTGTCTGATGTCCCCCTCTCCGGCCTCCACTCCTCAAATCTCCAGGATTTTCCATACCTAAAGCTGGCAACTTTATCTCCTCCCCTCTCAGTAGCCTCTTATTTTGCCTTAAATTGGTTTTGATGCCAGCAGAGTGAGAAAATGCCAGAGGCTCTGGGTGGGTGCCTCATCGTAAATGCACCAAACAATTCCTAAAGATTTGCCAAAACACTACTCTGTCGACAAATTGCAGCACTTTGAATTAGCACCAGAGCTTTAAGAGCTCTCCAGCTGTCACCTGGAGACTGGCAACAGCTTGTTTGGAGGGTGGGGAGTATGGCATTGTATCTGTCTGAGGTCCTCCTCTTTCTCTTCCTCCTCCTCCTCCTCAGACCCCACCCTCAGCAGGCTTCATTCCTAAACTATCCTGGAATTTTCCAACCTGGAGTTGGCAACCCTATGTCCTTTCCAGGCAACCATCAGCCTACCTTTATTCCTAAAGATTTTCCAAAACACTACTCTGTCGATAAATTGCAGCACTTTGAATTAGCACCAGAGCTTTAAGAGCTCTCCAGCTGTCACCTGGAGACTGGCAACAGCTTGTTT